GGGCGCCCCCCATGCTGCTGGTGGTTCAGGTGAGTGCGACCCAGGGATGGTGGGGATGTGCCCCAAGGGAAGATGTGGGGCACCCTGGGGTGGGTTTCGGAACCCCACCCCCACCCCGTGACTTGTCCCCCCCTCCCTGTCACCCTGCAGTGAAGGTGAAGAAGCCAATCCAAACCAAGTTCCGCATGCCCGTCTTCAACTGGGTGGCACTGAAGCCGAGCCAGATCGATGGCACCGTCTTCACTGAGCTGAATGACGAGAAGGTGCTGCAGGTGAGGACACAGGGGGACCTGGGGGGGTGCGGGCGCAGGGTGCTCGGCTGGGCCAGTGCTCCCAGTCCACACTGCACCCGCGCTGAGCTTGCCCCCGTGCCCACCTTGTACCCATCCGTGGTGTCACGGGGCTGCTGGAGGAGCGGGGGGTTGGAGCAGCTCTTTGGCTCTGTGAAGAGGGACAACATGGAGTCTGCCATCCTTCTCCTGTCACCCCATCCTTGTCCCCTTGCTCCATACTTGTCCTTGCATTCTCTCCATGTCTTCTTCCTCATCTTCATCCTCTGGTCCCCTCATCTCCTTACCCCCTCCCTGTCCCCTTGTCCTGTTCCTGTCCTTGTCCCCTTGCTTCATCTTCATCCCTTCAACTTGGCCTCATCCCCTTGCTCCATCTTCATCCTCTCACTCCACTCCCCCTTGTCTCGGTGCTCTGGCCCTGTCCTCATCCCCGATGTCCTGCGTCACCTCCCTGCTGTGCCCTCAGCGCTGTCTCCCCACAGGAGCTGGACATGAGTGACTTCGAGGAGCAGTTCAAGACCAAGGCACAGGGCCCTGGGTTGGACATCAGTGCCCTCAAGGTGAAGGCCACGCAGAAGGCTCCTAGCAAGGTAACCCTCATGGAGTCCAACCGAGCCAAGAACCTGGCCATCACCCTCCGCAAGGGTGGCCGCAGCATCCAGGACATCTGCACAGCCATTGAGACGTGAGTGTCCCCTCCTTAGGGGAAGGTTGGTAGAAGGTTGGGCGCAAGCCCAGCTACACCCAGGGTTTGGGATGGTGTGGGGTGTGCTGGGATGATGGCACCAGCTGTGGGGATGGAGGGATGCAGGGACCAGATGCGGAGAGAGGGAGGGATGCGGGAAGCAGAGACCGGTGACAGGGGGGTTGAGGGACCTGCTACAGGGTCTGACTGTGCTGGGGGTTTCCCACCACCCGCAGGTATGACCAGCAAGCCCTGAGCCTTGACTTTCTGGAGCTGCTGCTGCGCTTCCTGCCCACCGAGTACGAGCAGACACTCATT